ACAGACAGACAGAAAAAGTTTTTTCCGACCAGACGGAGTAATAGGCTTCGCTAATCGCTCAGCCAATCAATAATTCATCTCAGGGTCTGTATTGTGTGCCTATATTGGGGCGCAGGATTCGAAGGCTCCTAAATCAAGATCCGAGAACGCTGCGAGCAGACTGCCGAGTCACACCACAGTCATTCCATTCGCTGATGTACCTTCTCTCCAATCACCTGCCCGACCGGACTCACGGATATTCCCTAGTGTTCGATGTAAGAGGAGGCCCAGTGCGAAATGAATTTTAAGCGATATCGAATCGATATCAGAACGATATCGTTTTCAAGTTTCTGACTCCGAACTGATTCAAAAATGGGCCCGAAATCGACACTTTTCTGATGTCCGATATCGTTCTGATGTCAATTTGATATCCGCATTTCTCACTGGGGGTAGTCGAAAATTCAGAAACAGGGATGAGTGTGTTCTCTGGTTTACAAAGTCACTTAATTTTACATTAACTTTCTCAGGTCACTGTGACTCTGTATTGGCTGGCTGCTGGCATGTCATTTAGAGTCCTTGGCAATACCTTTGACATATGTCGGAGCACAGCTTTTGATGTCACAGAGTATGTTTTGGATGCCATATGCTTGCTAATGAGGCATGTCATAAAGCTTCCCGAAGATAATGATCTACCACATATTGGCCATCAGTTTGCTAGAATGGCAGATTCCCCAGCATTTTCTCAGTGCTGTGGAGCTCTAGATGGATGTCAAGTTCATTTTATTTGTGATGATGCAGAGCGTCATGACGAGTACATCAACAGAAAGTTGTATTACTCTATCAACTTGACTGGACTGGTGGACCACACAGCCAAATTCATAGATGTCTGCATCGGTTTCCCTGGCTCATGCCATGATCTTCGAGTGCTGAGACACAGTGGTTTGTACAGAGCAGGAGTGTACCCCCCACGTGAGCATTTCATAATAGGTGATGGTGGCTATGTCTGCCTAAGAAACCCCATCACCTTAATTGTGCCTTATCGCAATGTGGGGCTAACAGCTGATCAGCAAAATTTTAATTTTCATCTGTCCAAAGCCCGATCAGTGGTAGAACGGGCTTTTGGATTATTACAAGCAAGATGGAGAGTTCTTTTCCACAGAGCACTCGAAGTCAAGTTTCAAAAAGCTGTGAAAGTAATAACAGCAGCCTGTATCTTGCACAATATTTGCATAGATTCAGGTGACTTTGTGGACTATCTCCCTCCACCTAGAAGAAGGCAACAAATACTGCGTGATGAGGAGGCTGGAGAGGCATTCAGAAACATCATTTGTCTTGCCCACAATTTAGGGAGAAGGCAGGCTTTATTGGAGCGGCAAAGAGACAACTAAATAAAAACATCTTTCTATAAGTATATAGAACACTGAAGGCTGTATAGCATTCTAACAAATGCATTTGTTGGTTTGAGATCATTTTTACAAAACAAATCTTTACATAGTTCATTTTAAAAACAAACTAATTTACAGCAAAAGTTTTGCAAACAATAATAGCTTTTGTAAAGTGACTTAAACTAAATAAAGTTTTGAACTAGTGAAACACCATAGCATTGTAACTACAACACTAACAGAGCTAATATATTGTTCCCTTGAACAATTAACACAAAAATAAACTGTGGTATTTGCTCTGCATTCTTTTAAGATCACTCATGACATAGAATTACAATTGGAATTTTCCTACTGCAACAGTCAAAAAATAAGTAGTAGTCCTGCTTCACATTAAATCAACACAAAGAATCACAGCAGAGTACTGTCCAGCAGTTAAATAAAATTTGTACGTTTAACAAAAAAAACATAAGGGATTTCACATACAAATTTGGACAAAAATAAATAGATATCCTTGCATGCATTCAACAATCAACATATGAAATATTAGATATCAGTCATCACATAGAAAGTAAAAAAGTAAATGTTATATCCTATAGATCAGTCTTCAACAACAATTACAGGATGCACAAGACATTTCTAAAAAAAAAATCAGTCATAAAATAAAAAGAAATTCCAGCATGCAAAAGACATTGCAAGAAAAAAATCAGTCAGAAATAAAATAAAAAAAGTACTAGCATGCATTCAAGTTCATTCTTTTTTCTTAGGAATGATTTCAGACAAAACGTTTATAAGCTCATTGTGTTCTTTTTTTCGGCTCTCTGCCTGAGATTGCAAAAACTTCTTAAACCAATCATCTTTCTTTTCCTTTGGTGTCGCTTTTGCTGTCTTTTTCATTACCTTCGGTTTAACTTTGTAATAGTCTGCACATGATTTGTTCATTGATGCCTTGACTTCAGTTCGAGGTCCAGAAGAGCCTTGAAAGTCCTCATCCGAGCTGGTGCTGCTAATTTCCACTTCATCAGGAACAGCTGATGACTGGGAGCTGGCCGAAAAAGAAGAGCCTACCATGTACTCGGCTGGCACAGAAGTTGAGGTGCTAGTGCTGGTTCCAGCCAAACCAAGGTACTTTGATTGGCCCGTGGCCAACTCCTTGTCACTACACAGCATGCCCTCAAGCATAGAGGAGTCTGCAATGAGGGGAGGTTGAAGGGTATGTTTACCAGTGTGAAATTCATCCAACAGCTGGAAGAGGTCAGATTTAGCAGTCCCCTCGCCATTCTCCGTCCCTCTACCAGTGTCGCGCTTTGATGGCTCTTTCATTCTCTGTAAGATGTTTAGACATAAGTCATCAAGCTAACTCTAACAGAATATTAAAATTAAAGAAACTATAGAAGTGCACTCACTGCCATAGTGAAAGCTTACCTTGTACCAGGAGTTGAGGTCAATCCATTTCTTCTTGATCTTTCCATCATTGGCCCGGTGCACCCCTTTCTCAGCTAACTTTTGGATCACAACCTTCCAGCCCAGGGAAGAATTGCCATTCCCACCTGTAAAGTATGTGTCGTGGTACTGGATTCTAGTTTGCACTAGAATCTTTTCTGCCTCAGGATCCCCTGAAATGCGAAACGTAGGTTAACTGTGAACAGAAACAAAGATCAGCGCTACGAAAATGATTTTGATACTTACAGTATTCGTATGGCGTACTCATCGTCTTAATAAGTCTGGCAAAATCTCTCAAAAATCTTATTATCTACTATAAAGCAACAGAAACTCTGCGATTGCGATCAAACAACACAAACACGTTGGAACAGGTTGAATGTGAATGTGTCGTATCGGTGAACGGCGGGGCGGAGAATGGTGCGGCTCGCCACGGCTCGTGTTTCCCCCTCTCCTTCGTCATTCCGACCGATTCGTACCGATTCGTAGCGCTACGAATGAGAATTCGGACACACTCTTAGGGCCCATTGCAACAACGCTTCCCCAAAACAAACCGTGCGACAAAAAAATCAAAAACTTGGTGTCATATTGTAGATAAAAGTACAAAGTTTCACATGTTGTGGTCAGAATGAACCGAGCTTACACTGTTCGGAGCCCCGCAAATTCCGGCAAGACACATTAAAAACGGCTGTGTTTTGAGGCTAAGAATACAAATTTCAGGAATTTTCGGAGGAGGCAATATCACTCACATTATTATTTTATTTTATTTTTTGGAGTAATGGAAACTTGGTGGCCTTACCTTTCCGGCAAACCCATAGACGTTAAATTTTGTCAACACATTATGGATTTGGAGGCTATAATATTGAAATACAGCACATTTTCGGAATTAATATGAAATGTTGCGCCATTTTTTGTTTTCGTTTACAAATCATTGTGGGCTTGTGGGCCGCTAGGAACTGCCGCTAGATGGCGTCACGGTCAGAGCGATCCTGCAGGATCCCAATAAGTGAATAGACTATGCAGGGCCACTGGACGTGGCCGAGTCAGCCGACAGGAGTCGCGGAACAAAAGGTGTCCCCCTCCCCTCCCACGCACTGCACCGCTGCAGCGGGGTGCGCTGTGCTGAGGACGGCGGACCGGACAGGCGAGCGAGCGAACGCGGCCTGGCCCGGGGCTCCAGCCGGCGGCTGACGGCTAAGTCCTGGGAGTCGATTCCGTTCAAAAATTAACCTATTTCAAGATATATATAAAAACTAGTCGAATGCTCTGCATTAATAGCTGAGTGTCTGTCTTGATTTATATTAACTGAAAAAAGTTAATAAGTTCATATTTCTTTGTTACCCCTTCAGACCCACTCAGGGGTGGTTGCCAGGATTTGCACCAACCGTTTCGTTGTCCAGAAGTGACAACAATGAAAGTCTGAGAATCTCAAACCTCTAGCTCTCGTCCTACTTGGGAAACGGACAGACAGACAGACACGGGGGCGATGGCACAAGCCCGCTTGTATAGCTTTAAAGCAAAAGAGGGCTAAAATCCTAAGCTCGCGCTAAGGGGCCGTTCATATACTATGTTGTTCGTTTTGGGAGGAGGGGGGGTGTAGCCTTGCACTACGGTAGGTCACGAGGGGGAGGGGGGAGGCGCTGGTCACGTAGTATTCGTCAGATTCCCGTTTTGCACAACCAAAACACCGCGTCGTTTCCTCAGATTCGTTCAAGTGCTCCCCTTTCGACTAAAATGTTGTCCGTTTTGCGCCATCTTTCACCGGTTAGAGTAGGTTTTTCGACGAAAATCCGGTGAAAATGACTACGCTGGACATACAGACGTGCAAGGAGGCGACAAATCGGAAAATGACAGAGGAAGTATCACCCCTGAAACAACACATTTTAAATCTACATCGAGAAATGAACTACCCGACGTAAAAAGATTTGTTTGCTTTTGGTATGCTTTCTGTATGATTTCTGTATGCTATCGGTTCGCGGA